TCCCTCTCCTTCTGCGCTCAGACAAGTGGGCTCAAGAGCTTTTCCAGCACACTGTCCGTTGGGAATTTAAGTGCACTTGTGGTTATACTCTAAATAACAGGTAAAGGTTTTAGCCATGTAATTGAAATCATTTGTATTTGATAATTAAATTAAATACATGGTAACTGTGTAGGTAATTGTATGCAACACAACCCTCTTGTCTTGCAGTGTTGAGAAGACTCTTACAACATTCACTCAAATTCTGAATGACTGGCACCCACTAAAAGCCATCCACCGCACTCAGTGCAGTAACTGCAACCGTAAAAACCAGAGGAGGAAAATGGTGCTTGAAAAGTAAGCGTTGGAATAGCTATGCATTTCCGTTTTTTCCTTGTCACCACCCTGTTTCATCACAATTGAACCTGTTGGTCTTTGCGGTTGGTTGATTGTCTTTGATCATTTTTTTTGCAGGCTGTCCTCTGTGTTTGCACTGCACTTTGTGGAGGGCTTGTCCAGGAAAGACCTCTCTAAATACTCGTTTGAGTTCCAGGGCGCACACTACAATGTTAGCACCGTTATCCAGTACAATAAGAATCTAAAGCACTTTGCCACTTGGATCCGCCAGAGGAATGGTGAGTCTTTTATTCTGTGAGTTCATTAGCTGATCTATTCACACTACCAATCGAAAGTTTAGAGTTTTTTCCCTTATTATTTAGCTAGGATACATTAAATTGATCAAGAGTGACCGTAAAGACTTTTATAATGTTAGAAAAGATTTATATTTCAATTAGTTGCTGTTCTGTTAAAACATTAAGCACAGTTTCCACAAAATGATTAAGCAGCAAAACAATAATAATATGAGGAAATGTGTCTTGAGCAGAAAATCAGCATATTAGAATGATTTCTGAAGTCATGTGGCACTGAAGACTGGAGTAATGATGCTGAAAATTCAGCTTTGCCATCAAAGGAATAAATTGCATTTTTAAATATTGATTAAATTGTGAAATGTATTTAATTTTTATTTAAAACGTATGTGTAAAATTTACATTTACATTACATTTTGTTTAAATATTGGTTACACTATTTTAAGGTGTCCTTGTTACAGTGTAATACATTTAAGTACTGAATAATAATAATTAACTACATGTACTTACAATATGGTTTGGCTTAGGGTTACTTGCATGTAATTATGCATAATTAATTGTTATTATAATAGTAAGTACATGTAACATGTGTAACAAGGACACGTTAAAATGCAGTCTTCTTTCAGAAACATAAAATTCTTAATTTAACCCAAGCTTTTGAATGGTAGTGTATGTAGTTGTTCTTCTGAATCCCGTTAGCCAATGATTCATTTGAATTTAGTTTATTGTTGCTAAAAACAACACATTTGTTCCGCTTAAGTTATGTTTCCGCATTGTTTTACTTGCATGTTACCAAAAATGATCGACTAAAAATTATCAGCTGTTATTAAATAACTAGTATAATTAGCTGCAAATTTATCTCAGACTAGTTGCTCTGTGAAATGTGTTAATTATTTAAACTTAATAGTGGTTCATTTACATGTTTGTGTTCTGTCTTTTAGGGTCATGGCTGGAACTGGATGATTTGAAATACCCTCACAGCATCATCCACAAGAGGTTTTCGTTTCCTGCCAATGAAATTCATGTTGTTTTCTGGGAATCAGACTCCACTAAAGATGAAGCTTCAGAGGTTTGTTCACCGACAGCTCCCTCGGCGGTTACGAATGTCGATGATAAACACACGCACAAACTGTCAGACTCTGTGGCCGATGACACTCGTGTCCTCAGCGCGCTCACCATGGGAGACTCGACTGCCACCGGCGCTCTGGATACATCCATAGGCAGCACCACATTACTGGACACCTTTGAGGGTCTGTCACATACAGACATTGTGACCCTCACTCTGGTTGATGAGAACAAAGCCACTGAAGCTCTTCAGATTCCCCAGAGCCCAGCCGTCATGCCGGCCGCTGTCCTCACTCTTCCTGTAACATCTAGTTCATCTTGTATCTCTAAGTCCATTTGTCAACCTTCAAAACCCCAAAGCTCTGGTTTGAAGGAATGCTCTTCGGTTTCTAATCCAGTTGTGCTGAGACCGTCAGTGGCTACACCAGTACATGCACCTCCACCGCTTGCGTCCTCATTACTTCAGCGCCATCCTTCCTTCCAGTCGACACCAATAAGACTTCCTCCTCCCGCTCCAAAACCCGTTCTGAAATGTGACAACGAAGATCTGCTAGCAAAGCCAGCTGACATGTTCGGTGGCTTCTTATTAAGCAAGAAACTGCTAAACTCAAGTGGCGGGAATTCTGCAGTAGCGCCTCAGCACAAACCAGTCACCCTTCCTGGTGGCTTATGTGGTGCATCTGTTAAGAAAAATCCCAGCCTTTTGGCAGACCAGCAATCCATTAGCACTACAGAAGCCCTCAGGCTGAAGCTACTGAAAAAACTTAAGGCTAAGAAGAAGAAACTGGCCAAACTAAACCAGCTTTTGGGAAGTGCAGGAGAATCTGCACCAAAACCGGACAGCACAGCCCTCTCGTCGCCTTACTCGGTCACCTCGAGTACGTCAGTGTACGACAGCCCGGCGTATGACCAGTTCTTCGCTGAGCTTTTGTCTCCTGCGACGACCGTTAGTAACCTCTCACCTGACAGCACAGGGCTACTTGAGATGTTGAACAATGGCCAGAATGCGGAGACGACACCGCAAATTCCTTCTGTAGCAACTGTGGTTCCAGAAGCAGCTTTAACCTACCCTTCTTCTACTAATGACTCCGGATTGAATCTTGATGAATGCATGCAATCAGGGATGGGCCAGACTGCAATTGACAACACCGATTTTAATGGCTTGGATATATTTTTCTGATCAAGAAAAGCTTTTAGATCTTACAAACCGTGAGTTTGGTCTGGTGTCAGAAGTTCTCTTTGTAGTTTCGTATTGGGAATGCAAGACTTTTGTTAGGAAAGCCTGTGGTGCATCATCAGTTAAATCATATTTTCACATTTCGTATATATTAAATGGTGCAGAGTACGCAATGTTTGAAGATCAAATTACGCCCAATGCATTTGTAAAGGTTTGTACAGCATTGTACAGTTTAATAATTTTTGTTGTTGTGTTTTTTTTTTAAATGGTTATTACTGGATTTAAAGCGGTTTATATTAAATGGTCCCAAAAATTGAATATGTTGTGGTTATTGGCTTTTAATTATGCATGTGAGTGAAGAGTAAAAGCCTCACTTTCACACTGATTGTATATGGGGTTCCTACATTTTCTTGGATAGAAATAGCAGTTTCTAACCAATAAAATATTTGCATGACCTGCAGTTATGTTTACCATAGGCTACATTTATTTAATCAAATATATATAGTAAAATCAATAATATTGTGAAATAATACTATCTGAACAGCATTTATTTGTAATAGAAATCTTAAACATTTTAGTGCATCTTTTATACTTTACTGAATAAAGGTTAATTAAAAAAAAAAAAAGAATGACCCAAATGTTTTAACAGTAGGTTAAACAGAAAAATATATATTTATCAGCAATTACAAAGACACGTTCATTATTTATTTATTTTTCTGAACATTTCCCCAGTTTTCCATGATCTGTATATTGTAAACAACTATGTGCTGTCATATTGCACTTTATTTCATGATCACATTACCATTGAGAGTATGCCAATATTAGAAATAAGTGTTCCTATTTTAATTGAATGTCTCCTTTGGTGCAGTAGTGCTTTTTGCTTACAGTCCAGCGTTTGCGGCAAAATATTAATACTGTCGGATCAAGAGCATCTATTGCCTCATTAAAAATAAAACATTAGAATAATCATTATGATCATTAGTACAATATTCAAGTGACCGAAACCAAAAGAGTCCATTTTTAATTGGACATGGAAAATGTGAATGCAAAGAGCTTCACTTTGTTCATTTTTTGGTCCACTTTAAAAGGTCTTGAGTTTGGTTATTTTAAAGAGTGTGAAAACAAGCAGTGCCCAAAAACGTTTTCAGACACTTAAGCCTCAAATGAAAATGTAAATGTATTATCTTAGTAACAAAGTATCAAAACAAATGCTGTTTGTTTTAAAGAAATACTAGCAGAAGCACACTGTTCAATTAAAACACCTTACAAAATTACACTTGTTAGGTATCGAATTAGATCAATTGTTAAAACTAAGATAAATGTCTTGGTTACTTTCTGGTTGTCAAACTTTGCAGAAATGTTGCATGTTTATTATTAAGATGAGGAACAACACCGATGGTTATTCAGTTGGGACATCTGTGTACATTTGAGGAAAACTTGCCTCATAGATCCACAAAAAATTACAGGGCAGTTGGTTAAAAATAAGTATCTCAAAATTAAGTTGAGAAAAAAGCTCCATCATAATTTGCATATTGTTTGATGTCACATTTTTTATCTAATGCAATAAAATTCTGACATCTTACAGTGTTGCTTAAAGTGAGAGTCAACGTACTGTCTGCTAATTTATTCAACATATAATATACTGACAGCTGAAATATCAGAGGTGAAGTTCATCTTTTCGGTTTGAGTTATAGCAGTCATTTTGACCAACATTAATATAGTTTCAAACCTGAAACGGCACAGCAAGAATATATCAACTAAATTACTTCAAGTTATAGGCCTATACAAAAACTGAATTTACCAGGATTGGTTAACTACATTAAGTTTACTCTATATATTTAGTGTTTAAATAAAAAAGTGACGATACCATTTGGTCTGTTGGCTGGTTCTGAGCAGATGTCATCAGTCCTGATAAGGCAGCCTCCTGAAAAAGCACATTTTTAGTTGTTTTCCCAATTCGATAACATTGAGACACTGTTAATGAGCTGTTGAGTTGATTCAGGTGTGTCATATTAAAGAGACACCCAAAATATGCAGTGTTTGGTGATATCCAGAACCAGGATTTAGAGTTGAAGACCAGCTGAAACCAGCTAAGACCTGCAAAACAGTTTCAGCAAAACTGTTTAACTGACAGTGTTTAACAGCAAAACAGACCGTTGGCTTCAGCTGGACTTAATTTTGTCCTAAAATATCAACTGTTAGGACGAGGTGTGAAATGGATATGTAGCTATACCAGGAACAAGTTTCCACACTCAGATATTTAGTTTCAAAAAGTACAAAATGTGCCACTGAAGCAGAAGTGATCATGTTCTAGTGGCCCTCCCATCAGGAAACACATCAGTTTAGTGGTGATGTTATCTGTGATGCTAAAAATGATCAGACAACAGTCTGAGACAAGACCCGCAGTGCACACTTGAGAACATGTATGTAGCAGTGATGGAAAACATCTTCTTGCTTGTGCTGGTCACTCTTCTCAGCGTCGTTCAGAATGGTATGACATTTAGACTTTATTACTATTATTTTTATTTTGTATCATTGAAAGATGTTCATGTAGAATGTGTATGCAAATCATCTTTGAACACATTGTGCTGTGTTTATACAACTACCAGGAATTAGTCCATAATGCAGCCTAAATATACATGCACATGCATTAAACTAATATGTCTAATCTTTAATATCTTAACTTCTCCTCTAGTGTTCTTCGCCTTAAAGGTTGAGAAAGAGTGCACCGGTCAACATTCTAAAAATCATTCTGAAGCGTTTGAACGTTTGTCCTGTGCAAAGTGAGTAATATTGACTCAAGCTTCTCCACTCTAGAATTTGTGACTGAAAAATGAACTATTACTTTTAAGCGCCAAAAGAGCTTTTTATAGAGAGAGATAAATTATCTGTTTATGAAATAGTGTTGGTGTAGCTTCTTTTGCATAACAGCTCGAAATTTGCCTGTTGTTCTTCCTGTCTATTTACATAATCGTAATGTTGCAAAAGGGTTGCACTGGTCTTTCTGTCTGTATATTGAAAGCCTATAGCTGTACATTTAAATTTTCACTTATTTAAAGTTTCTCATAAAGTCTACATTAATGTAAATGGGCTTATTTGAAGTCAGTTATGAATGTGAATATAAAGGGGAAAAGGTAGAAAAATGATTCTAACGTTCAAAAACGTAGCTTGCATCTACTTCTAGTATCCTTATGTATTGCACAGTAAATTATGATTTCCCCAAGAAAAATTTTGATCAGGTGGACGAGACCTGTATTTTAAAATTTTTATTTTTATTATAATCATTTTTTTAAATATGCAAAATAAACCAAACTGACAGCATTTTTATCAGTTGCATATCTAGGCTGTTGGATTCTGGTTTAGTAATTTGTCTCAATTTAGATGCAATCATAAAGTGTCATTAACCACCACCAAAGAGGAACAGCTCTTTCACAATATTTCTAAAAGATACATGGAAGTACTACAGTACTTCAGTTTGGTCAAATTAAATACCAGAGTTAGCTGACAGAGTTAGTTTCTGAAGCTGTTTGAAAAAGTTATCAATTAATAAAATTATCTGCTTCATAATACTTTGTATTTACTGTTTTCTCAGTCGAAACTGCATGGACACGTACCCCACATTTCTGGCAGTACTGTGGTGTGCTGGTATCTGCCTCAGCCAAGGTACAATTCAATTCATCATATTCCTCATAAAAAAAAAAATCAGTTAAGTGATTGAGTTGAATGAGCACGTAATCAATATTTTTAGAAGTGAAAGTGACTTATTTTTGGTGTTATTTTTAACGTTCACTACAATATAGTGATAAGATCAGACCAAAGAAAATACCCCTTTGTAACGTAGTAGAAATGGTTTGCATTTCCCGGCTAATAATTTCTGTTATGACCCATGTGCAAATATTTGTCTGCATAATAACTTTGCTCTATTTCTGAATGCCACTGAAATAGTAGGCTAATTGAGTTGCTAAGGAACCACCGCATATATAATGAAAGTCAGCCTTAATAAAATACCTGTACAATAACTTTCTTGGAAGTTCTCTGAAATCATTTAAATAACAAAACCCTTTTTGTTACAGCTCCAGCTGCCTTTGCTGGCATTATCTACCTTGTGGTCCGGCAGAAGTACTTTGTTGGCTACTTGGGGCAGACTTGCCAGAGGTAAGATTTTCAAATCCATAACTATGAACAAATAAGGCCTTTTAAACATCAAATATATGTGCTAAAGCTGCATTGGAGTCAACTGAAACATCTTCTGAGGTTCCTGACCTTAAAACTACATGAAACGCAGACAAATGTGGGTTGTTCTACATTCCAGCAGCATTAGATGTTGCCTAACGTTAATCTCAATACAAATAGGCTATTAGTCATTGAACTGTTGCAGATTTATGATATAAGCAGAACTTACGTGATAAGATCACTTTGTGGTTTCACTTTTGTGGTTTGATATAGACACATCAACCATGTGTTGTAACACACACCAGATTTGTTAACAGATATTCTGCTTGTATGCCTGACAGCACTCCTGGCTTCCTGTTCGGGAAACGCATTCTCTTCTTCCTGTCACTCATGTGTGTCGTGGGAATCATAAATCACCTGATGCTCACCTATGGAGGCAGTGACTACAAAGAGTACATTCAGACCATCACCAAAGTAGTGTCAACACTTCTGCTCTTGCCCTGAACTGTGCCAGACAGATTTTTCTGCAGCTGAAACGGTAGTGCAAACAGATCAGTGTAGATCAACTCTTTCGGTTAATGGTTTGTCAGTTAGTCAGAGGATGTGGCAAGAACAGTATGAAGCGTTCACAGGGATGGTCACAAAGGCATTTAATTTCATTATGATTTGTACATACTACAAAGCTTTACAAAAGACAACCGTTTTTACTGTAACTATCCCAGTATATGGTATTTGAAGAAATGTTTTAAATGGGTCATATCATGCTTTAGTTTTCTCATTGAGGTCAACATGTAAGGTTAGTAAAGATTTGTCAAAAAATGTTTCATTTCACACCTCTCTCTGAGCTTTAGATTTAACTGGTCAGTTTTTTTGTTCTGCTCAGGCATCGGATTGCAGGTTTCCTGTTGTGTGAAATATAGTTCAGCAAAATCCTCAGCCTCTTTGCAAAGTCTGCATTACATGACAGGGTTACAAAATAATCAGTGATGAAATGTCAGACTGAAATTATCAGGGTATAACTGCACATAGGGCTGGGCGATATGGCCAAAAAAATTATCAGCTAAAATTTTCATATCAGTTGATAATGATAATTATCACAATAAATTTCAAATCGTGATGACCTCATATTTAGATGTTGAAAGGTAATTATTCCGACCGTTTTAGTTTTATAAAAATTAACCACTAATCATGCTAACCACAGTTAAAACCACACATATAGCACCTCAATACTGTGGTATAAATGTATCTATGTTGTTTCTAGTTATTTGCATAAAAAAACAGTAGTCTAAATACATTTAGTATAAATGCACAAATGCTATAGCTTGATCACAAAAAATACTGTAATTATATTCAGTATTATATACTGAAATCGTATATTAACTTACTCCGTTAATATATTTAATTCATGTCTTCATTAATATAATACAATTTCTTATGATTATTCCACATTTCTGCCACAATACCATTGTGCAGTTAGTGTTACTAGTAAATCCATGGTAAATGAAGGCGATTTGTTCATTGAAAACTCTTCTGACTGTATCGTTGCGCACAGTGTTTCTCCTGTTTGTCAACGCTGCTTCAGCTGGCTTTAAACCAGTTTAAATCAGTGTCATTTGTGTTCGCTGAATTCAAGCGCTTCACACTGGATCTCACAGCGCTGTTATCAGTGAGTGACTAAACGCATCTGCTCTAGTGAGCTCCTGCTATGCTGCAAGTAGCGCGGTTTTGTTCCGTTTTTGGTGCATAAACATTATATCGAACATTTATCGAACTCTTGTTATCGTTTTATCGAGGAGAATTACATCACGATAATTATCGTTTTATCGCCCAGCCCTAACTGCACATTTCTATTGATTCTCTGGAAATATATGCAGAGCCGTAGGTGCTACACACAGCCAGAAACAGCACAAGACAGGCTTCCTGTTCGGGAAACGCATTCTCTTCTTCCTGTCACTCATGTGTGTCGTGGGAATCATAAATCACCTGATGCTCACCTATGGAGGCAGTGACTACAAAGAGTACATTCAGACCATCACCAAAGTAGTGTCAACACTTCTGCTCTTGCCCTGAACTGTGCCAGACAGATTTTTCTGCAGCTGAAACGGTAGTGCAAACAGATCAGTGTAGATCAACTCTTTCGGTTAATGGTTTGTCAGTTAGTCAGAGGATGTGGCAAGAACAGTATGAAGCGTTCACAGGGATGGTCACAAAGGCATTTAATTTCATTATGATTTGTACATACTACAAAGCTTTACAAAAGACAACCGTTTTTACTGTAACTATCCCAGTATATGGTATTTGAAGAAATGTTTTAAATGGGTCATATCATGCTTTAGTTTTCTCATTGAGGTCAACATGTAAGGTTAGTAAAGATTTGTCAAAAAATGTTTCATTTCACACCTCTCTCTGAGCTTTAGATTTAACTGGTCAGTTTTTTTGTTCTGCTCAGGCATCGGATTGCAGGTTTCCTGTTGTGTGAAATATAGTTCAGCAAAATCCTCAGCCTCTTTGCAAAGTCTGCATTACATGACAGGGTTACAAAATAATCAGTGATGAAATGTCAGACTGAAATTATCAGGGTATAACTGCACATAGGGCTGGGCGATATGGCTAAAAAAATTATCAGCTAAAATTTTCATATCAGTTGATAATGATAATTATCACAATAAATTTCAAATCGTGATGACCTCATATTTAGATGTTGAAAGGTAATTATTCCGACCGTTTTAGTTTTATAAAAATTAACCACTAATCATGCTAACCACAGTTAAAACCACACATATAGCACCTCAATACTGTGGTATAAATGTATCTATGTTGTTTCTAGTTATTTGCATAAAAAAACAGTAGTCTAAATACATTTAGTATAAATGCACAAATGCTATAGCTTGATCACAAAAAATACTGTAATTATATTCAGTATTATATACTGAAATCGTATATTAACTTACTCCGTTAATATATTTAATTCATGTCTTCATTAATATAATACAATTTCTTATGATTATTCCACATTTCTGCCACAATACCATTGTGCAGTTAGTGTTACTAGTAAATCCATGGTAAATGAAGGCGATTTGTTCATTGAAAACTCTTCTGACTGTATCGTTGCGCACAGTGTTTCTCCTGTTTGTCAACGCTGCTTCAGCTGGCTTTAAACCAGTTTAAATCAGTGTCATTTGTGTTCGCTGAATTCAAGCGCTTCACACTGGATCTCACAGCGCTGTTATCAGTGAGTGACTAAACGCATCTGCTCTAGTGAACTCCTGCTATGCTGCAAGTAGCGCGGTTTTGTTCCGTTTTTGGTGCATAAACATTATATCGAACATTTATCGAACTCTTGTTATCGTTTTATCGAGGAGAATTACATCACGATAATTATCGTTTTATCGCCCAGCCCTAACTGCACATTTCTATTGATTCTCTGGAAGTATATGCAGAGCTGTAGGTGCTACACACAGCCAGAAACAGCACAAGACATGTCAACTAACAGCGTAACGTGATGTTAGATAATATAATTATCTGTTTATTTAGCTTGATTTCAGTAATCCAAAAAGATAACATTTTGATTCCTCGTGATATGACCTATTTAAAGCAATGAAGGTAACACATTCGGGCAATTTTGCATGGAGTGACCCTTTAAAAAAAAAAAAAAAAAAAAAAAGTATTTTTACTATCTTGAGTTTGCTAGTTTACAATGTGAGGATTTATGAAATTGACCTGTCTGCTTCAACAGAATAATTAAGATTAAGTTCCAGTGATCTCAATTTCTTTATGATTTTTTTGTATTACTGCTGGCATGAGCAAAATAAAGTTTTATTTACAGTAAAACTGTCCTTTAAGGTGCATTAATGGTCTTCTCATCTGTGCAGGGCTTCAATGTCCACAGACTGAAGCCTGTGTTCAGTAGATATTTGGTGTTTCACACAACATTTTGAGTGTTGATCTCATCTTCCATGGTAAGAGACCTGCAAGATCAGATTTCCAGTCATAGTCACAATACTAGAAATCATCAGAGAGGTCTGCTTATTTATTAAAACACACCTTGAACTGTCGTTTGCTGCAGCCGAACCAGTAGGGAAAGTCAAAAAGTGCGTCAGAACGGTACTTGATGGTGAAATGTGTGTCTTTCCAGATGGGTTTTACCTTTCCTACATCAACAAGGATTTGAAAGCTCTCACCGACCCATCCCTGTAGTGCAGCACTAACATCAACCTTAAAAGAATATATAAATATATTTTTGAATTCAGTTTTTACATTGCCAGAAAAAGGACACTAAATTTGTACATCATACATCATTAAAAACAAAGTCTCTACTGAACTCACATCAACTATATAACTTTCTCCAGCAACAGATGAAATAGTCATGTCTAAGCCTCTCTCCATCTCCCATCTGATCATTGGATGACTGCCGTTGATCGCCACCACATAATACCCAAGAGCTATGAAGTAATGAAGTACAATAAGAAGGCAAGGCGAGGCATTTGACTTTACAAATACAGTATACAGTGGTGTCAAAGTTTAATAATTCCTTCCCTGTTGACATTGTGACACAGCTACATTGCATTTCCTGTTTTGATTCATTTTTACAACTGTAGTGCTTACTAATATATCACTGATATTAGTAACATTACTAATAATCACCATAAATCAGTTCAAGTCCATATTAAACAGTTAAATTATTCATTTACATTTCAGTCACATAGTTATGCTGATAATATAAAAAAATAATTGTATTAATAAAATATATTTAAAAAGATTACGAAGTATTACATTACTGTAATTCTGTAATTTTTAAATTAATTTGACCAAATGTTTTTGTTTTTAACTATTTTGTTCTGAAAATTTTAAAACCTGCCTTGTTTATGAAAATTGGTCATTGAAATTGCAGTCTGTTTTTTTTTTTTTTACTTTATTTTGTTCTGAATTTTTTAAAATAATTAAAATGCCTTCGAAGTTGTGAACTGTATCATTTAATAAAACTAGTAAGAAGTCATCCATCCATCCTATTATCCAAACCTCTATGCCATTATTATCAGATCCTCCTAACCCGGCATCTTGAGCCACAGGTGGAGAAAAACCATGGATGGACGGCCAGTCCATCACAAGGATCACGCATTGATTTTAAGAATACTTTTTATTGAATTTCTCTTCCTTTGATATAGCAAAAGTGAAAATGAGAGGTGAAAATGTTCAGTTTTACTGAACATATTAGCATAATCAATGCACAGTTTAACTCCATGTGTCTCAACTTCCTTCTCCCTCTAATTTACCCCTCACTGGGGGCAAGTTGAGCCAAGAGACCACCTTTTTTGGAAAGCCATATTTTGAAAGTGATTTATTTTAGATCCAAAGTGATCATTCCCAAAGATGCACTATATCCTGAAATTCATGTACATATTTAGGTTGGACCCATGTGCTCACTTTACACACGCAGTAAGTAAAAACTGGCTCAACTCACCCCGCTCTCCTCTCTCTTGCTCTGTGTGTATGTGTATATAAAATTCAAGAAAGATCCATTTTTCTGAATACCGTATTTAAAAGATGATTTTGTCATTTTAATAAACGTTTATTAATATATTTTAATATATCATTTTATGTATGTATACACACACAACACACCAGTCTCTGTTTGTACGAAAATATTAATTTAAAGAAGCAGGTCAAAGACTTTCACTGTGTGAAATATATGATGAGGGGTCATATGATGCGATTTCAAAGTGTTACAAGCTCTTGGTGCATAAAGAAGATCTGTAAAGTTGCAAAGACTGAAGTCTCAAATCCAAAGAGATATTCTTTATAAAAGTTAAGAGTCAGCCACACCTACCTAAAATGTCTCGTTCTAACACACCCCCACATGGCTACATCACGATGTGGGAAGATTTGCATAACGCCGCCCAAATGTTCACGCAAAGAAAGAAGTGTAACTTTTATTCTCGCTGTAGTATTGTTGTTGCTGCCGCCATGTCGTGAAGGCGACAATGCCGGCTGTTCTGACTCAAAGAGTTTTTTTATATTTAAAGAGTTTTTATATTGTATGTATTTAAAGCGAGTTTTTTGGGCAGTGTAAAGTAGCGCTTATTGTTTGTCATTTCTCCGATCACAAATGCAGACATGGTTTTATGTTTACGCGGCGCGATGCAACGCAAAAAAAAGACAGTATAAGTAATTATAATCCATATTTATGTCCCCACTGAATGCAACGAATGCCTCGTTTATAATGGGTTTTCATGTTTTTGAATCATCGCTCCAGCCTGACAGGGCATCCTAACAGTATGGTGAGGGGCGTAACATTTCCGTCACACGCTTGAGGTATTCGGCCAATCACAACGCACTGGATAGCTGGCCAATCAGAGCACACCTCGCTTTTTCAGACCGATGAGCTTTGTAATAATCCACGCGTTTCAGAAAGGCGGGGCATAGAGGAGAAACAATAATATACAGTATGTGGAAAATAGTTTTTTTTTTTTTACCTTAAACCGCATAAACATTTCATTACACCAAATACACAAAATAATATTATTTTTAGCAACATCATATGACCCCTTTATTAATAATAATAATAAAAAAAATCCTACCTGGAACATCTCCGTTTCTCTTTTCTTCGACCTTTGTTTTGGTGCATGCAGACACCAGGATGTATATTGTTTTTGAGGTTAGCTGTCGTCTCACATCGGTGTACTCCCTCAAAGTACGTACTATGACTTTCCTGAAACGGCCATGAAGAGTTACAAAAGCCCGCTACATATAAACCTGCATATTGTCATATGACGTTATTTAAATCCATTTACCTTCCTGGAGAATTACAGAAAATCACTTTCCCCTTGCTAGACTGGATCTCGTCGATGAACACGCAGCTGTTCTCCTGCTCCCACTTCACGACTCTGCAGCCCGCGCGACTCTCGACAGTGAATCCACCAGGAGGGCTGTTCACAAACGACTCCAGCTCGATAACGTCCATAACAAAGCCAGAATGTTCTTTCTTTTGTAACTTCTTGAGGACAAATCCGAGTGTTCGTCCAGCGCGTGAGTCGCCCTTCGCTTTGGTGGGCGTGGAGCTGGTTTGTAACGCTGTGCATCACAGTCAAATGAGTCAAACTGAGTCATACTGTAGTCCAGTACAGAGCAGTTCAGTATTGTGACGGGCAGTTTGAGTTTTATCACCTGTTATTCTGATTTAGCAGGGGTTAAGTGACCCGGGCGTCCTCATTTTAAACACACTCACACAGACAAGCAGTGTTTTACATCATGGTAAATGGAATGAATTATTTCATCTTTCCTATTAGTCACATTAAAAGTAGGTCATTTAACCTCCAGGCAGTGAAATAGCATTTTAATGCAAGAATGTTCAATCGCTACTGTGTCGGGGGAAAAAAACACTTAAACTAGTCCAAGATGGTTTGCCGACTACGATCTTTGGATGGATTTAGAGAGGTTTGGGCGATTTTTAGGTTAGAATAGGCTATTGAACACCAGTTTGGCAAAGCTGTGACAAGCTTCAACAAATGTAAACGACCTATACGCTGTTTTCAGTCTTGTATAACTTGTATTTAAACCAGGGCTGTCCAAACTCGGTCCTGGAGGGCCGGTGTCCTGCAGAGTTTAGCTCCAACTTGCCTCAACACACCTGACTGGAAGTTTCCAGTATGCCCAGTAAGAGCTTGATTAGCTGCTTCAGGTGTGTTTAATTAGGGTTGGAGCTAAACTCTGCAGGACACCGGCCCTCCAGGACCGAGTTTGGACAGCCGATTTAAACCTTTAAAGAATATTGCTAGTTGTTTGAATTTTTTTTAATTAATCGTAATGTCAGTTTTAACATTAGCCATACAATTCCTATGTTTCCCCACAGAAGTAGTTTCCGCTTACTCAGGGTTAGACAAGGATGGTAGCTGGTTTAGCAATTTCAAGCCGTTCCAAATCCAGAACTGGTTTAAGTGGTTAAACAGTCTACAAGAGTGAAAGGAGTGATAGGCCATGCTGTTTGTGACCAGGGGCAAGTTCAAGCTCAAACCGGTGTGCACCGTTTTGCTACGGGTTCCGGTTTGAACGACATGTTTCCTGGAAACGGTGTGCAACGGGGTTTGAGATGCGTTTTCTCTTGTTTGGTGGGTGTGTCAGAAATGTCAGCCCAATCAGCACCAACATATATGTAAACCACACGGTATTAAAGAGACAGCTGCACAATGTAAATAACATCCAAATAATTTCACAAGAGCAAGTATATTGTTTGCACATGTTTATTTACATTAAAGGCAAAATAACTGAAATAATAAGGGCACAAGTATAAATCTGGAACTTCTTTAAGTCTGTGTAAATATCATTTAGTAATTGCAATGACTTCTGGTCCATATCCTTTCCTTAGGAAGGTGTGCTAGACACTGATCAATGTAACATAAAAATACTATACATATTTATATAGTTTGCTATTGCATTGTGGAGTGACACTTTCATAAACTTTTCTATACTCCTCTGATTATATAATGGTAAATATTACAATATCATAGCACAACAACAGTGATCAGCAATAATGATAAGCCTAATACTCACAATAAAAGTAATACAGTCATATAGATCATAACACAGTCTCGGAGGTAAGAAGTGGATTACCCTTCACCTGTTTGTCTTTTCATCCTGAAAAACGTTGGATCACAATAATTAGGAACCACAGATCCCTTCACTTGATTGGGATGTTCTCTTTTATTCTGGAGGGCAAGGGCAGTGACTGTAACATCGAGCGTATTTTGCAGCATTAAACACGTATTTATACCGATTTCATCAGGCTCTGAAAATTCTTCAAAAAGAGCACAAAGCATGGCCTTCTCAGCTGCCATAGTTGCAACTCTTGCGTCATCAGAACAGGGTGTTCAACGCACCATCGTTTCCGTTTAGAAAACGTTTTGCACCGTTTTGTCGGGGCTGAACGCAGCCCTGGTTAACCACAACCACAACTGATTGACCAAATTTTAGACTGTGGTATGACTTCCAATGAAGTATAAAAAAAGTTGTTGCAGCAATCTTCCGTTTTTATTTTTAATATGACTTATCCTGGTTTTAACTAAATATTCCAGATGGCCAGATCAAGAAATCTAAACCAAGTGTTAAAATGGTTAATACCTTAGTAGGCCCCCCAAAAAAGAATACTTGAGCACCAAATCAGCATATTGGAATGATTTCTGAAAGATCATGTGACTAAAGACCGGAATTAATGAACGATTGATAAAAAAATCAGCTTTGCCATCACAAAAATAAATTACATTTTAAAATATATTAAAAAAGAAAACAGATTATTGTAATAGTATTTCATGATATTGTTTTTACTTGATTTTTGATCAAATAAATGCAGCCCTGTGAGCATGAGACTTGTTTCAAAAAAACATAAAAAATGGTAGTGTATACGTATGCAGACATCTATGATAAATCTTAACTTTCACTCATAAAACAAGATCTACAGCCGACACAACAACACTTTCAAAAACGATGCATGAGCGTGAACACCAAAAATCAAAGTCAAACGCAAACCAGACAAGTAACAAAGAGAAGTAAAAAATTTATTGCAGTATTTGTTCCTCCACACATGCTGGGGGTCCCTCGTCCCACTGTGGGGTGTAGAGACTCAAATCCTGACCCAGTACATCAAAATCTAGATTTACAAAAAACCCTCCCTTCCATGTAGGCGACAGATACTGCATGCTCTGCTTTCAACCGAATAAATTATGTCCAGGAGACTCCATTTTACAGCACAAAAGAAGTAGAACATAAAGCAGAGGAGATGTTTAAAAGTTTATTTCCCTGGAAACTGAGCTAAGCTAAAGAAATCCATCCGGTGCTAGGTTAAACTCCAAGGTCACTTTATTAAGAACATCAACAGACTAATTTCCAACATTCACTTTAGGTTTATTTCTTTAAACAGATTTTTTTTTTCGTCAGAGATATAAACATTTTTTGTTTCTGTTTTGTGTTAAACTATGATACAGTGGAGGGGGGAAAAAATTCAAACAACCAAGTTGCTGCACAACAGCGAAGGAGCTCTGTTTCTTTCTTTTCCGTTTAACTTAAAAGATGTACAGGAATCACATCTACATTTCCAAACAGACCACACTTTTTAAAATCGTCGTTCTTGAATTCGACCAGTTCCTGCCTTGGATCTTAAAACCTGTGAGTCTGTAGTACTCTTTTCTCTCCGACTTAAGTTTACAAAACGTTAAATCCTGATGAAGTTTGGCTGCTGAAAGTCTGTTGGGTGTAACAGTTCCAGAGTTATTACAGATTTAATTAGCTGGAAGTTCCTTCCTTGGCTGCGTACAGTGAACGTAAAGTCTGCACTACTTTGTTGGACAGTTTGTGTGCGCTTGTCAAGGCAATTTTCTTGTAAATAATGTCAGACTCCTTTATAGTGTCCACCCAAGGCACCAGTTTACGTCCGTCGCGTTTCTTGGCCTCCGCCCAGGTGCCGGAGTACGAGCCGGCCATCCAGCGAATGCTGTAGCCTGTGCTTGTCTTCTGAATAACGCGCGCTATCTGCGGCCGGTCCTTGTACTTGGGGCAGCAGATAGCGATGACGTCCATGGCTTTTACCGTTTCGTTCATGTGACCTGATGCCTCTGCGGAATCTCCGCCTCTTCTGGATCTCCGTGACGACTAGAAGGGAACAAAAACATGGCGTTTTAAAGTGACGGTAACGTTAGACATTGAGAGTCGAATGAAAACATCAGCACCGGGGCTTTCTTACCCCAGGAGCCTTTTCGTCCACATCACTGTCGTCGTCGTACGAGTCGGCAGCATTATTCTTGGGGCTGGAGCCTCCTAGTAGAGCAGTGATGGCTTTATTTCTGGCGTGGATACTGGCTGAAGCGTCCCCTTCCTCATCTTCCTCATCTGGGTCCAAGCGCTCCATCAGTACCTTAAACTGTGGAATAAAACATTTAGAGATAGTCAGTTTGATTCATTTTTGTGAATCAGTTCAAAATGTCCATTTTAATAAATCAATTCAAGAAACTGTTTGTGTCAATACTTAAAATGTTCAAGTCTTTTTTTTTTTCATTTATTAAAATGTCTTCAGTTTTTATTTTAGTATTATTTATATAGCATTATATTAATTAATATGTTGAACTATCTTTTATTTTTATATATCCAACTTTCATTTTAAATGGAAATAAAAATCTATTTAGCCAATTTTTTCTAACCTAAAAAAAGTACTTATTTAAAAAATGTATATTTTATTCTAGCTTTATTTCAGTTAATGGAAATTATTTTAATAGACTGTTTTAGTTAACAATATAAATACTGTTTTTTTATTGTTATAAAGCATATAAAAACAATTCATATTTTCATATTATGCATATATTAAATTATTAAATCACTCTTCTTTGTCTTTTAATTAATTAATTAGTATTTTAAATTAATGTTTAATTAAAAACATTAATGATTATTAATACTTAATAAATGGGATGATATTAATTATAATTAATTAAAAAAAATAACATGCCCTGATTATTTGCCTAGGGGGAAAAAACCAACAAAACTTTTTAAAAATAAAGAAAAAAAAGAAATGACAGCGTTAAGCAATTTTCAAGTTATTTTAGAGCAAATTAAAAAAAATAAATAAATAAACAGAGATGATAAAAAGACTGAATAAAAGTTTTTAAAAATATATTTTTTTGTTTTTATATATTTTTATTTGTATAAAAATATTTTTTTAAAGGGTTAGTTCACCCAAAAATGAAAATTAGCCCATAAATTACTCACCCTCAAGCCATCCTAAGTGTATATAATATGGTTTTGAATATGGATATTTTTCTTACAAAAATGCATCGATTAGCTACAGAAGGCCTTTGTTCACCCCTCGGAGCCGTGTGAGACACTTTTTTTTTTAATGGATGGGTGCTTTTTATTTAACTTGTTTTGGACTGATGCATGCAACACCCGTTGAGTGGCATTAAACAGCTTGACATTTTTAATATAACTCCGACTGGATTCGTCTGAAAGAAGAAAGTCATATACACCTAGCATGACTTGAGGGCGAGTAATTTATGGGCTAATTTTCATTTTTGGGCGCACTAACCCTTTAAAGAAAAAAAATCTAAAACTCATTTAGCCTGTCTAAACAGCACATTATTATGAATCAAAACAAATAAAAAAGAAAATCAGAATGTTTACATCTAAATACTGTCTGACGACTCTCCTCTTGACATCGTAAGTAAGATCTGCATTGGACAGGTTGTTCGTCAGGTAGTCCAGTGTCTGCCGTGGGTTAAAATGCACATTGGCCTTCCTGTTTACAGCCTTATCATAAACCTTTGCAGATTCCGTAGGCGAGTACTTCTGAATTTTACTGCAGGAAGAGACAAAGAGATATTTGTTATGGAGCCAGTGACCATTAACACATTACATCGGTTATGTCAGACCAGAATGCGTTTGGACCAGTGGGTAAAGCTCACCTGTCAGAGAAGCCGTAGAGGTTCTTAAGGTGCTGCTTGAGCATCAGGAGCAGCAAGATGCCCTGAGAGGCATTGGCAAAATCCAGTAAGGGCTCGGGGTTGTCAGGTAGACGCTGCATGACCTTGTCTACGTCCTCCAAGTCGAGGTCTGAATCTGAGTCAGAGTTCACTGCGGTGGATCGTCTGGGTTTCTTGGGCCGACGGATGACATCATCGCTGCTATCACTGCTGCTTCCTCTGCTACTCTCATCCTCTTCCTCAGAGCCATATTTTTTCCCTCGTTTTTTCTTCTTTTCCCGTGGTCTAGGCTCTTTTAGCAAAGACTGTAATACAAGGCAAGATTGTTAGAAAACTGAATGTCAGCTCTCAAAAAAAAAGGGTGGTACAACCCTGTTATCAAAATTGACTTCCAAAATTTTTATTTTTTTGTATATTATATTTATTGTGGTATTTTTGCATTTTCAGACCCATAAACAGTACAATCACAAGACAGGACAAAACACAACTACACAAACAAGAAGGGGGGAAAAAAACAAAAAACTCCTTCAATTAAATTCAGTTTAGCAGATAATCACATCACCAAGTAGAGGCTCGTCAGGTAGTCCAGTGTCTGCCGTGGGTTAAAATGCACATTGGCCTTCCTGTTTACAGCCTTATCATAAACCTTTGCAGATTCCGTAGGCGAGTACTTCTGAATTTTACTGCAGGAAGAGACAAAGAGATATTTGTTATGGAGCCAGTGACCATTAACACATTACATCGGTTATGTCAGACCAGAATGCGTTTGGACCAGTGGGTAAAGCTCACCTGTCAGAGAAGCCGTAGAGGTTCTTAAGGTGCTGCTTGAGCATCAGGAGCAGCAAGATGCCCTGAGAGGCATTGGCAAAATCCAGTAAGGGCTCGGGGTTGTCAGGTAGACGCTGCATGACCTTGTCTACGTCCTCCAAGTCGAGGTCTGAATCTGAGTCAGAGTTCACTGCGGTGGATCGTCTGGGTTTCTTGGGCCGACGGATGACATCATCGCTGCTATCACTGCTGCTTCCTCTGCTACTCTCATCCTCTTCCTCAGAGCCATATTTTTTCCCTCGTTTTTTCTTCTTTTCCCGTGGTCTAGGCTCTTTTAGCAAAGACTGTAATACAAGGCAAGATTGTTAGAAAACTGAATGTCAGCTCTCAAAAAAAAAGGGTGGTACAACCCTGTTATCAAAATTGACTCATTTTAAAAGCTGTTATTATTCACTAATTTTTTTTTTTGTATAATATATTTATTGTGGTATTTTTGCATTTTCAGACCCATAAACAGTACAATCACAAGACAGGACAAAACACAACTACACAAACAAGAAGGGGGGAAAAAAACAAAAAACTCCTTCAATTAAATTCAGTTTAGCAGATAATCACATCACCAAGTAGAGGCAAAGGGGTTCAAAGCAACTTCTTGCACAATATGAAATCATAGACAAGGTGAAATACTATTGTAATAATAACAATTATAAAATAATAATAATAATAGGTAACAACCTAAGCATTTTTAACCTCAAAAGGGCATTACTTAAGGAAAATTACCATGGTAACAGAGAGCAAATAGATTTGCAACAGTGTCAACATTGTCGCTAGTTTTGACAAATAATTGAGGAAAAGAAAAAGTCAAATATTGAAATTAAATTTAGAGAGAAAAAATCTGAGCATATTAAGATTGACACGGAAATGAAAGAAAATAGCAATTACAAGAAAAGAAAATTAAATTTCAAATAGTATCGCCGTTATTAGAAGTTTTTAACAGGTGATTGAAAAGAGGCCTCCAGGAAGCATCAAACTGATCTATATTTCCAGAAATACTATATCTAAGTCTTTCCACATGCAGGGTGGAGGAGAGTTCTGACAACCAAGTTTTGAATAGTGGCTTCGACTTTTTCTTCCACACGCAAAGAATAGATTTTTTTGCAATCATCATACCATACTGTATAGGCAGTCAGAAAGCATGGCTAAGACGCTGCAAGGAAGCTGACCAGCCAAGAACAGCAGTCACAGGATTTAAAGGAAGCTCACATGCATAAGCATCAGAGAGAAATTGAAAAACTTCTGACCAAAATTCACAAAGTTTTGGGCATGCCCAAAAAAGATGACCAAGAGAGCCCTCCGCAGATTCGCACTTATTGCAGAGAGGGGAAATATTAGAATAGAAAGTGTTCAGTTTGACCCTTGAATAATGTAATCTATGCAGCACCTTGTACTGAATAAGCTGGTGTCTGGCATTAATAGAGCAGATGTATATATTTTTAAGACATTTTGCCCAGTCCTCCTCAGAAACCTGAATATTCAATTCATTTTCCCAATCATTTTTCAGATGATTAGTAGAGATATCTAACTGAGTTGCAAAGAAATCTACAAATTTTGTGATTAACTTTGGGGTATTGGGGGTGCAAGTAAGCAATTTGTGTAATTCATTATCAGCTGATAATGTTTCAAAATTTGGCATAGTGGAACGAACATAATTTCTGATTTGTAGGTATCTGAAAAAGTGTGAAGCAGGAAGGTCATACTTCTCTTTTAGCTGAGAAAATGTAGCAAAACTTTTGTCCATATATAAATCTCTTAAGGTGAGAATTCCTTTTCTAGCCCAACCTGTGAACACTGGATCTAAGAGTGAAGGTTTAAAGGCATGGTTACGACTGATTGGAGCCAACAAAGAGGTATTTGGCAGTTTAAATGTCTTGCTGATCTGACGCCATATCCTAAGAGAATTATTAATCATAAAGTGGGATCCTACTGCGGCTTTAGATGTCTCTGGGGCTGCAAATAGCAATGAGGAGAGAGACGAGTTTGAAGAACCCCGTTCAATCACAAGCCATGAAGGAAGATCTTCTGAGAAACTATCGGGGTGTGGGTCATACCAGTAAGTTAAGGCTCTACAATTGGCAGCCCAGTAGTAGTGCTGAAAATTTGGTAGACCTAAACCCCCCAATGACCTTGGCTTGCACACATGTAATTTAGATATTCTATGTGTTTTGAAGCCCCAGACAAATGGCAGTACAATAGAGTCTAAAATTTTGAAGAACTTTTTAGGCAAATATATTGGTAAGTTCTGAAAAAGATATAAAAATCTGGGCAATGTCACCATCTTAATAGCGTTCACATGCCCCATCATTGATAGAGGTAGGGTGCGCCAGCATTTTATATTGCTCTTTAGGTTTTCTATCATAGTTAAATAATTAAGCTTATATATCTCCTTAGGGTTTCTAGGTATATTAACTCCAAGATATTTCAAGCTATTTATGGTTATTTTAAAAGGTAAACTATGCATAAAAATTGGGTCGATATTATTAGTCACTGCTAAAAATTCACTTTTTTGCCAGTTTAGTGAGTAACCAGAGAGTTTACCAAATGTTTCTAACAGATTTAGTAATGGAGGTATAGACTGTTCTGGGTTGCGAAGATATAAAATAATATCATCTGCGTAGAAAGAAATATGATGATTAATTCGGCCTATTATTCACTAATTATAACAATAAAATTAAAAGTACTAAAAATCATATTTGTTAAATGAAGTAAAGCTAAATATTGGATGAAAAACTTTAGCTTAAGGTGAAGTAACAAAATGAATAAAACTAAAACAAATACAATTTAAGCTAAATAGAAATTAATATATATTAAATTAAATGAATAAAACTAAAAATAATAACAATGACAAATGCACATACCAAAATGACTGAAGATAAAACTAAAGTGAAAAATAAAAGCTATACAAAATATTAAATAATACTATGTATATAAATAACACTGTTCAAAAATTTCTAAACCAATTTTCTTAACAGTACTTTTTTCTATAAATATATATATTTATATATATAGAAATGAAAAATAAGATAAGGATAAGCTAGTTTGGAATTAAAGTCTGGTTCGTAGATACTGATCAACTTATTCAACTTATCTACCCTAAATGAAAAAGAAAGAAATCATTCAACATGGCTGCGTGCAAAATGTTACAAAACTAATTTTCGTTGTTGGTTTTAAAATTACAAATAAAAAAAAAGATTGATTTAACGATGGATTTAACATTGTAACATTGTAACATTTCTGCATGATTTTTATTTACTAGATTTAATCGATAGGTAGAATGGGGCAAAAATGACCATTTTAAGGGCAAGGAGGAGGATATTTGTGTTTACTACTATCCCTTTTCATGCCACATTAATTTGATTTCCGTCATATATAAAAGTTACAGTAAAAGGATAGAAAAACACCTCTTTGAAGGACTGCAGCAGGTTGCTGCCGGACACTGATAGTGTGATGTCTACATGGTGCATGATGAACAGCGGCTCTTCCTGACTCTGAAATGGGAAGCAGGCGAGATTGTCTGCGGTATACAGCAGCAAGTTCACGTCTGACTTCTGCATGGGAAGAAAACAAAATGGCATTATTGAAGAAACACAGGCCACTGAAAATGCTGACAGATATAGAAAAGTATAAACTGTAGCTACAGAAGATAATACAAAAGATAGTAATCGACAGAGTGACATATAATGCAAAACATTACAAAAACACTGACCGTGTTGTCATCAAACAGGTTGAGCAGCGAGATGAGGAAAGCCCTGCGGTGTTGTCTGTTTACGCGCACCATGGTGTAGAGGTGAGAGCAAAGAGCCATGTTTGTCTCATCCTGTCGGAAACCCCTGATTACTGTGTCCTTTGAATCCACGATGGCTTGCTGCACCTGATAGGACATCTTCATCCCCGCCACAGCCTTCATCTGTTTGGATGGCATGTATGGCCAGGGTTATTTCAGTATAACTGACATATTATATAGTTTTTATTAATATTTGGAATTAATTAACACTTTACAATAGGGTTCATTAGTTAACTACATTAGGTAACGAACTAAGAATGAACAATACTTCTACAGCATTTATTAGTCTTAATTCATGTTAATTTCAGCATTTACTAATGCATTATTAAAATCTGTTTGTTAACTGTGTTTGTTAACTTGTTAATGCACTGTGAACTAACATGAAACAATGAATGAGTGTATTTTTATTCACATTAATAAAGATTAATAGTGTAATAAATACATTGTTCATTGTTTGTTTGTGTTAGCTAATACATTAACTGTTAACAAAGTACACCTTACTGTAAAGTGTTACCATTAATTGTTATATTTTATAATAGTACATATATATATACTGTGTATATATGTGTGTGTGTGCGCGTGTGACCCTGGACCACAAAACCAGTTATAAGTAGCACAGGTATATTTGTAGCAATAGCCAAAAATACGTTGTATGGGTCAAATTTATGCCAAAAATCATTAGGATATTAAGTAAAGATCATGTTCCATGAAGATATTTTGTAATTATCAAATATATCAAAACTTAATTTTTGATTAGTAATATGCATTGCTAAGAACTTCATTTGGACAACTTTAAAGGTGATTTTCTCAATATTTTGATTTATTTGATTTTATTTGAAAATGCTCATTCATTCTCTGACAGCAGGTGGAGCGTATGGTAGAAATATGTTTCCCGGTAACAGCAGAACACAAAGCAGCTGCAGCACCGGACTTTGAACCTGCAGCGCTTGTGTTAATTTAATGAAATCATAGCCTTTTGAAGTTTAATCGTCACATTCAGCCATATGGCAATTCTGGTCTTTCCGTCCCCAAATTTAAGACCTCTTGAAATCATAATTAAGACTTTCTTGTACAATTTAAGACTTTTTAAGGCCTTAAATTTGATACAACTAAATGTAAGACTTTTTAAGACCTGCGGAAACCCTGATTATGTAAACAGTTTTGGTTTAAAAAAATAAAGGGGTTCAATAAAAAAAATTATTTCATTAACTTATTTCAGGTAACACTTTTTTTTTATGATTTTAGCCTAATGCACCTAAAATTTCTTGCAGCATCATACATGACAAATGCATGTTAGTTGTTCAAATCCACTTACGTGAATGAATCCTGTGTATTTCTTATCAATCTCCACCAGCTGTTGATCAGATTTATTCCTCATAGTAGGTTCCGAGTCGGTTCCCATTGCAATAAGATACGGAACGCACTGATGGAGGAGGAAAAAAGTCAGTTAAACTAAAAGCTCTTTCAGACTGGCTTTAGGAGTGTTTGTGCAGAGGATACGTACCTGTACAGGATGAACGAGGCCTTGGCTGAGTGTCAGGGCGATTACATTGAGGGCAAAGTGCCTTACGCTGGATTGCGTGTGGAAAAAGCTCTCCAGCACCTGCTTGAGGTAGAGCTGCATGATAGAACTGCTCATGCCAGATGAGATGTCACCCATCTCCTTTAAGTCCTCCTGCTTAGACATCTTCTTCCCTGAAAAGACCAAAGACAAAGAATGAGAATAAAAATAGCCGACTGGCTAGCTACTTACCAAGTGACAGATGCGTTGAACACAGACAAGAACATCCTGTATAAACAACACTCACACTCCCTGTCGGCTTCCTGCATGCGCGAGTCTTCCTCCTGCAGGTATGTCTGCAGATTCTTTAGCACCTGGATCTTCAGATTCAATGACGTTTTCCTGTCAGCCAGGAGGCAGTTGTAGAGGTTTTTCACATCTGAAGCAAACATTAGCCCTGGGTGCTGGATTAACAGGAAGCCTGGAGAACCAAGATCATGGTTTTGTTTACAGTGAGTGAAGTGAAAAGGTAAAAACAAGAAATTTAGTGATTTATGGAGAGCAAATATTTACCTAGACCAATGATGGCCTTGGTCTGCACCTCCTCATCCTCATTTTTAGTGAAATACAGCAACAGCTCCAGCACTTTGTCTTTTATGACCACCTGAAAGAGAAGAAGACCATTAACCAGACGGGTAAAGGAGTGAATCTTACAAAAACAATTCAAGGTTACATTTGATAAAGGAAATGAAACACATTATAGGGCCATAAAGACATTTTCATATTTTGACATTATGCTTAAATGACATTTCATGTCAATTAAGCACATTGGCCTCAAAATTCTCATTCTCATATGTCCGGATGTTTCATTTTTGTTTTTTGGTACAAAAAATGATTCTCATTACTGTCGATTCTCATTAGATTCTAATTGCTGTAGTACAATAATTTTTATTAGATTTAAAAAGTATTTAAATCTGCATTATAAGCAGCAATAATGTATAAACAAAATGTAAATGTATCAGCTTTTTCATATTAAAAGCAACAAGTAAATTACTTAAATATTTTTAAATGAAATGATTTAAATGAATGAATAAATTTGACTACTCAGTCCCACTGATCTATTAAAAATAGACGTCTATTTTTTAATGCATAAAATATTTATTGTCATATAAGATTAATAATACATAAATATCAAAAACTTAATAATTAATCATATAATTGTAATTATAATATATATTTCAATTAATACAATAATGAACAACATTTATTCATTTTGATTGTGGGAATTTATAAAACCTGTTCTTTAATATACTAAAATAAAATAATTTATTTAACTCTTGACAAAATGTGTGAGATTAACACAATTACAAAAACATGTAATTAACATATATATATATATATATATATATATATATATATGAATGTGACTAGTCTATTATAGTTCATTATAGTCTATAATAAATTGATGTACTTAAAACTTGTCTATGTTTATTAATGCATACAAATCTTTCCTTGGATTTGAGACTTTTAAAATCCAGAAATCATCAGGATCTCACCTTATTACTGCCTTTGAACTCCTCTTGGTCAAAGTCGAAGTGTCGGCTTAGGGCACCCACAGTGAAGAGTGAACGCAGTAGAGCGGGTTTATTAGAGACCAGTACAGTGCTGTTCGAGTCTTCCTGATGCTGCAACTTCAGCTTGTTTAGTGCTCCTTCACATGAAAGAAGAAGAACTTTAGAGTGATTAACACTCTCAGGATCATAGAAGAGCAAAAGACTCCTGCCAGTTGTTGAAATTTACTCACCATAGTATCGGTTGAAACAAGACCACACAAACTTGTAGTTATGGGTGACCTTATTGACAACCGCACCAAGACAACTCACGCAGTGCTGCACAACCTGCAGGAAACAAGGCAGATGGCACCATGAAGCTGTTGACACACAAACCGCTGGACACCAGAGCTGTTGATACTCGCTCTCCAACTGACCGTCATGCCGTATTTGATGATGAGTTTCATCAGGTCTTCTTCGATGGTGGTGAGGAAGTTTTCACTCGGATGGTCCATCAAAGGAACAACGAGCTCCAGGATTTTAGCCACATTACAGATCACCATAAAATCACTCTGAGTCTGTAGGGACATAATAAGCACAAGAAGCACCTTCACTCTCTGGCCTCTAGATGGCAGCACAACACCATTTATTGCAATACATTCCCAGACAGCACTCACATTACACTTTGTGGTCAGGTATGGCTGCATAGTCATGGCATGTTTCACCATCAACTGGGGTCGGATCTTGCTAAACAGGTACAGCGTTGTGATACATGCCACTAGGCGATCGGATGTCAACCCCTTATTCTCACAGTCTGCAAAACAAAAAAAATAACTCACCAAAAGTTCAATTAAGGTAAATCCTTTGCTTCAGAATTTAATACACCTCATACCAGCGAGAGACTCCTCGTATTTCAGAATATGATCTACGAGACTGTCCACCAGCTGAGCACAAGCCTTCCTGGCCGGTTTGTACGAGGCATCCTCTTCTGACTTTAGCAGCTGTGACAAGACGGATTACACCAATGGTTAGGTTACTTTTTGTTTTGTTTTTTACCTGAAAAAGTAAATGCATTATTCCAGTTCACACTTCCTCTGGGGCTAATGCTATGTTCAATTCAACTCAGAAAGTCAGAATTTGCAACTTCCTACTTTGGAAAAGAGCAACAGAATGGATTTGAATGAGTATTTTGCTCTTCTATCACCCCTTTTGGGTTTCAAACCTTTCAAGGTACTATCCCAGATCTCCGAGAACCCCTAAATGCACTACTAAGCATTGGAAAAGCAAATCCAAACTGTCCTTGAACCATAGATGGCCAACTTACATTCTGAAGGAGTTGTTCGAACCAGTCGTAACCGGAATCCTTGCATGCAGCGACCTGAGAGACAATGATTCACGTCAGAGGGACATAATGTGACCTTAAAGTACATGTCCTGAGGGTCAGATTTTAGCCCACTCTGCAGATCCTTACCACGTCGGTGATGTTGAGAATCTTGCGAGTCATGGCCTCTTTATCATGATTAGGTGTTGGGGTGAACCAGAGCTTCTGAAATGTCTCATTTACCAATTTCTGAATAAGAAATAGCAAAAATAAACTGGTTATAACATAACTGCACAATAAAATAAAATGAAAAATTTTTTTTAGCCCCCTAAATAAGATTTTTTTAATATTTTACTACTAGTTTATAAAGTAAATCAACTTAAACATTTTTTATTATTTTATTTAGTAATTTCCAAATAAAACATGTACAAAACAAAACATGTACATAAATGTGAAGTACGTGGATTACAGATCTGAAAAGAGAAAAACGCAACTAACCTTGATGCCTTCTTCGTCATTGACCCTCCTGATCATCTTTACACACATCTCTGTGATCTTGTTGAAGGTGGGCTGCTCCAGACAGATGTCCCGTAGAATTTTAATAACTCTCTTCCTCACACTGATGCCTGTGTCCTGCAGAAAACATTTGCCAGCTCAAATCAGCCTACATGATGCATTCAAAGCAATCAGTTTTCACTGCTAACTGGAAATAAAAGCATGTGTTAAATTTACAATAATAGTTACAACTGTACAGATGGCCAATTATTAGCACTACATAAACCCAAATGGAGTGATCAACTTAAAGCAGAGGGGTCTTGTATCAAACTGAAGTGGCTTATTTCATGGGTTTTACCAAATAAATAAATAATTTAATTAATGGGTGGGCATGAAATATTGATTTGCATATGGTTGTTCTTAAAAGGGGGAGAAACACAAAACACTTGGAAAATTAAAAAATTGACTGACGGCATACATGGTAATAATTTGTTGTAACAATTGTTTTTGTTTTATTGTAAAATTAATCTTGGTGATTATAATTTTTTTTTGCTGTATAACAGGAAAAATAAATAAAAAAGAAATATTGATTCATTAAATTATTTTATTACATGAGAACAAAGAAACTGCTGACTGCTACTAAAGACATCAAACAAGCTATTAAGAAAATCTGGTAAGGACAAGGGACAAATAAATTTTTTGCAGTCATAATGCAAAAAATATATCTACAATACAGGCAAGTATATATAGAAAGAAAAGCACAAACCAGGATGCGCTCGATCAGCATGTCATAATACTGTTCAGTTAGCTGTGGTCGACTCAGTACGAAGCGCCCCAGCAGCTCTACCGCAGCTTCTCTCACACTGGTGGAATTGTCCATCAGTCGGCCATGAACTCCCCGCTGCATGTCCGACTAAACCAGAAAAAGCAAATGAGAATTTAAAATATGCAAATAAAGACATTAAAAAGCGTAGTTTTTTTGGGAACTGCACTCACCCGTGCCAGAATCCTCGGATCCACTGCAACCACTTCAGAAAGACATTTCATCGCTTTAGTTCTCACCGCGATGGCACTTTCACCAAGGACTCTCAAAATCTACAGATACAAATGGGGAGATGTATTATTGATATGCAAATACAAAGAAATATGCTGAGAGACGGAATGGCCTCTAACCTGTGTGAGATAAATATCAAAGCTCTGTGCAAACGGCCTCATGGAGGCCAGATATCGCACAATAAGACACGAGTCCTCATAGTCGACAGTATCCGAGTTTACTCTGTGAGAAAACACGTAGCAGGTGTCAAAATGTTTCTAAAAATATTGCATTTTTATTTTTTGGGTGAACTATGCCTTTAACAAAGTGAAACATTTCTGCTGTTTGTACCTCAGAGAGCTGAATTTCGATGCCGTGGTCTTGATAACAGACCGGAGGAACTTCTTGCGCGCTTCGGCTTTCTGCAAGATCTCACTAGTGGTCTCGACGTCCCTTGCATGGTGCGCCCCATCGGACGAGTCGTCGTCCCTCTGACTCTGCGATTTCATGGCTTTCTCTGTCTCAGTGCTGGTGTCCCTGAACCACTGCGCGATGTAGAACTTTCGCGCAAACTTTTGGAAATTAAGATATCAGAACAACTTTAAAACCTCCAGAGATTCTTGGGGCTTTTTTTTCTTGTTACAATAATATGTCTGAATTTTCTCACCAATAGTGACGGGTCAGTCTCTACATTCTCGTTCAGGTAACCCAGCAGAGCCTTCTGCAGCTGCTGAATCTCATCGCCACCTGAGCTCTGTAAAACACAAACTGGCATGAGTTTCTTTCAGGCCATGAGGGATTCATACTTGTGATGGGGCGGACTCTGCCGTTTACCTCTCCGAGGATGCGGTTGATTGAACGCTGGTCCATTTTGCTGGTGACAGCATCTTTGCGAAGACGTGCAGCCACTGTGCCCAAATAATCCAAAGAGGCCACTCTCAAAGCCATCTCTGTCTGCTTATTACTGAATTGATGAACCTACCACGAGAAACCAGAGCATTGTGTGAGTTTGCAATTAATGTAACAGTGTACATTCTACCTGTGAAATATCAATCTGAAACTCACCAGCAGCCTTCCCAGAAGGCTCAGCAGCAGCTCTGCAGCTGGCCAATCAGGTTTATTCACTGTGGACAGTAGATCCTGAACAAAGTTCTCAAACAGTGGCCTGTAGTCATCCTCACCTTGCTTACTACCACACCTGAAATTTAAACAAAAATTCAATAAATGAACATAACAGTGCAGTGAAGATTTTTCTTGAAAGAAATAAAATGTAGCAGATATCTAGAAGCACATATACAGAGCATCTGCTGCTCAACCCTTCGCAGTAATATTATTCAGTATTGCCCCTGTCAAACAAACGCCCCTCCCTCAGAATGATTTACAAGTAAATTAAATTAAAAAACATAATAAACAAATAAATTCAAACATTTAGAGGCATTGTACAAATAATAGGTATCCTAATTAAAACTATAACAATAATTTAGCGATGCACGTGTTGTTTGTCCTGAGATGGCATGGTTAAGCCCTTTTGAAAAGCATCAGATGAGAGTAAAACAGGTGTTTCCTGAGACAGTGCACATGCTTAGCTTAAATACAGTATGTAGACTAAAAGACATGCATTACTGATCCCAGAAGAACATAAAACATAAATGACTTTAAAGTTAATTTTACCCCAATATAAATGGGTTGAAGTGTGAGGGTTGGAATGATGTCAGGCGCTTTTCTTACTTTTTGAGGAAAACGGAGAGGAAGTTTTGTGCTGTCCTCATTGCAGTCTCATACGAGTTTGTGATTAATACATCCTTATCAACCTGCAAAAAATGTAATAACTATAAAATAAGCTTAAAAAAATAAAAATATCAAACGTTCTTGGAAAGCACTTTTTTTCAGAAGAGACTATTTTTTACAGAAGAGATATGTCACATATCATAATGTGACATATTGCAGTCATTTCAGAATATAGCTATTAGCTAAACAAGAGGTAAAATAGGCCAAAAATGGCCTTAAACAGGGTCTTCTTGCTATTGTACCTTTGAGACCTGTCAATATAAAATGATAACATGGAATTTGTAAAATACCTCAAAAGTTTAGGGTCAGTAAGATTTTTTTTATTATTATTTAAAGAAATTAATAATTGTATTCAGCATGAAATTGATAAAACATGACAATAACAGCTTCTTAAATGATGTTCTTTTGAATTTTCTATTTAATCAAAGGATCCTGAAAATATAAGTATCACGTTTTCCACAAAAATATCAAGCATCACAACAGTTTTCAATATTGATAATAATAAGAAATGTTTCTTGAGCAGCAAATCAGCATATTAGAATGATTTCTGAAGGATCATGTGATACTGAAGACTGAAGTAATGATGCTTAAAATTCAGCTTTTGCATCACAAGAAAGAGATTTTATCACAATTTTAAATGAATACAATTTCACAATATTCTTGTTTTTCTATAGTTTTGATCAATTAAATGCAGCCTTAATGAACATAAGACACTTAAAAACATTTTTTTTTTAATCTTACAGACCCCAAACATTTAAACAGTAGTGTAGGTTGTATGTTTTCTTTTTTTTCCAGAAATGCTGCTTCAGTGAACATCAGGGTATGTCTACTTAGTTGATCACAAGAGCAAGGAAAATCCTCTGTTCCAACACATCTATAAATATAACTTAACTCTTACCTTTCTGTCATTATCATCATCAAAATCCTTATCAGAAGGTAGATGGACCACACACTGAATGAGTTGCAGAACCAGCGCCGTCACCATCTGAATGTACATGGGCTCCCCATCCACGTCACTGCTGTTCAGTCTGCACACAGATTATAGTCAATACACATGCTCAAATTGTGCCCCGAACAGCTGGTAGACCAGACTGCAGTATTTACCTGAAATTTCTCAAATTTCTCTTGCTGGTTGGCAGTCTTGCAAGAGAGGTGAAGATCTCCTCCAGGATCAGCTGCCTGTGCTTCTCGTATCTAGAAAACACCTGGAAATTGCATGACACAACAATGTTAGATGCAGTTAGCACAGCAAAGCATAGCGTAAAAAAAAAAGCTGAACTGCACTGATACTTACAGCCGTCACTAGTTTAATGGCACAAAGCTGCAGCTCACTCACATTCTCAACAAAGAATGGAGTGATACCTAGAGACGAGACCTGTAGAGAGAGAGTTAACATTAACATGAAGCCCTAATAATAATAACAATAATAATGATAAATCACTTGAAGATCATGTGATTTTCGGTTAGGAGATCTTGTGATGCTTTTTAAAGCAAAGTTGGGGTTGATTTCGAGTTCACATACAAACATAAATAGAATAGGCTAATTCAATTTGTCTACTTTAATGTAAGATAACATATATTTCGTCAGTGATAGAAATATGATTTACGACGGTAGTGTAAGCAAGTTTAGTTTGAAAACGTTTAATAGTAAATAAGACACAATTAGACAATATTTGAATAAAATAATAATAAATATGTATTTAATCTCTAATTAATATTTTTTGTCCAATTATTTGCCCAGTTAGTTTTGGTATCGAGGTAAAAGTTCCCTTGCATTCGCTATATAACAGTGGGTGGTGGTCACGAAGATGACTGAGCAAATTTGATGCGTTTCCCCCTTTTGCAGTGATTTACTTCTTGCAAGATCGGCAGACAGGGTGACCGTCCTCGATTAAATTGCCTTCAAGACTCTTGTAAAAGCCAAAATACGACCAGACCACCGATTTGGTTCTCTTAGATGGCTGAAAAATCTCCCGAGCGCGGTCACTGCCTTCCGCCATTTCGTCTCGTGCAAAAAAAAAACAACAACACTGCATGCTGCTTCTGCATCAGACTGATGCTGGCTGGACAGGATTTACCGCGAGTTTTCAAAAGCACGATAATCAAACACGGTTTTGATGATAATTAAATTTTAAACGGTAATACTAACCGTCAGTTAGTATTTTATCATGATTTATCGTGAAACCGGTAATCGTTCCATCCCTACTCAGAATATATTTGATAATAAGGGACCAATGAGATCTCATGGTCGGGATAAAAATATAAACCAAGCAACAGACATCTTGTCGTATAACACTTTGTGGCCCTACCTGGTAAGGATAAAAACTCAAGTTAGCATGGAAGTGAAAGGATCTTATAGGTTAGGACACTGTTTTAATGTCCAAAACTGACCACCACGAGGGTCCACCCTGTAGACGGGGTCGTACTGCGGGTACAACGTGTTCTGTAGATGGAACTTGGTGTACTGCACGACCCTCTCGATAACATCCTCAATGTAAACAGCCTTCGGCATTCGTGCTGAGGTCATGATGTTAAGAGCCGTCAGACAAGCATCAGCAGATTTGGTGACACGTTCCATGATGAGGTCACGCCACAAACGCTCCTCGTCGTCCCTGTCGTTGTCCTGAAATCACAAGGACAGGGAACCTGTCAGCGAGAGTCAACGGCAGAGCCATTCTGCCAATAGAAACTACAATGATTCTTACATGATTCATGAGGGTGGAGAGCTTCGCACCATCCTGAATATTTTTTTCCAAAATACTCTGGACCTTCACCATCTTATCAGTAGGAATCTGAGGATAAAAGCAGTTAGCATTAAAAGATCATGTATTGATGTGTCCTGTCTCTTGAGCCTGGTCCCAATCTCTCCTGTTGACAGAGGTGTACCCACCTTATGCATGATGCCCATAGCCTTTATTTTGGCTGATTCACTGCTCAACTCCGACAACTGGTGTTTTCCGAGGAGCAGCTCCTGAGGAATCTCGTCATCATCTGAATTCATTAAATCAATTACTGTCAAACTTGCAGAAGCATTCCAGTACAGCACAATCTGCAATCATTTGAACACGTCAAATGTAATAATTTCTGCACATTTACCTAACAATGTCAAGTCCACGTCTTCAAGGTTTTCAAGAATGTTGTCAACACTGGTGGAAAATCTCTTGAACGTGGAGGAGTCCATCATTTCTGTGGAGCACAAGTTGGATTACTAAAGTTTTGTCTCGGTTCTTTTTCGAACGCTTTGGGGGCACTAAAAGCCAGGAAGATGAAAAATTTGAATGGAAAAGCAACTTAAATCGATCTCAACTCCAAGTAATTAAGCAGAGAAGATGAAAATGAAAATTCTGTCATTAATTACTCACCTCATTTCGTTCCAAACCTGTAAGACCTACGTCGTTCATCTTCGGAACACAAATTTAGATGTTTTTGATGGATTCCGAGAGCTCTCTGACCCTCCCACAGACAGCAAGGATCCTAACACGATCAAGGCTCAGGAAACGTAGCAAGGACATTGCTAAAATAATACATGTGACATCAGTGGTTCAACCGTAATTTTACGAAGTTACGAGAATACTTTTTGTGCGCAAAAAAACAAAAATAACGACTTTATTCAACAATTTGTCTCCTCCTCGTCACCCTATAGCACCATTTTGGAGAGTATCACATACGTAAACAACATATCCACGTACATACGTTGTTTACGTATGTGAATTGTTGAATAAAGTCGTTATTTTTGTTCTCGTATTCTCGTCGCTTCATAAATTACGGTTGAACCACTAATGTCACATGGATTATTTTAACAAAGTCCTTGCTACATTTCTAAGCCCTGATCGTGTTAGGATCCTTGCTGTCTATGCAGGGTCAGAGAGCTCTCGGAATCCATCAAAAATATCTTAATTTGTGTCCCGAAGATGAACGAAGGTCTTACAGGTTTGGAACGACATGAGGGTGAGTAATTAATAACAGATATTTCATTTTTGGGTGAACTTTCCCTTTAAAGCCATTAGAAATGGAAAGGCTAAAAGTGAAACACAATACGGTTTGCAGTTAATGTGAGTGCAAAATGGATGTGAACTAACTGCATTCTGTAGAAATTAGGGCTGGTAAAGGCCCGTTCACACCAAGGATGATAACTATAAAGATAACGATAAAGATATAGTTCTATAAATCGTTCTCAATATTAAAGAATAGCAGAGTTCACACCACAACTATAACGATAAAGACAAAGAGAAACGATATCGTTGGAATCACTTTCAAAACGATTTTTCTCCAGCTGATGAACGATAAATCACTGACAGCCAATCAGAATCCATCATGCTGTAACAAGCTCGAGAATTTAAAGCGGCAGACAAGCGTGCGCTTAGAATAAACAGACGATATCGTTCGCTGGTGTGGACGCTAATATCGTTATCGTTCTTGGTGTGAACGGGGCTTAAGGGATTGAAATTTTTAATCGAATTAATTACATGATGTGGCGATTAATTAATCACAAATTAATCGCACATCAAATTTGGCTGAGAAATTACTCCCAAAAGATCATTTAAAGTCATTGCTGTCGTGTAAAGCATCAAACATACATTACAAATGGCAGCTTCAGCAATAAATATTTAGTTTGATAAAATCTATTACATATACTCTTTTGGACCATGAGGGTGAG